GGGTAGTAACTGAGGCGGGACCTCGTGTGCAGGTAATGAGTGGAGAACAGGAGGGCTTCTTGAAGAAGAACTAACATGTCTGTGAGAGCCAAAATTCTTACTGGTTGATAGATGATCAAATACTTATTTCACACAATAAAATGGAAATTAATTATTTAAAAATCATACATTGTATTTGTCTGGATTTTTGTTTTAGATTCCATCACTCACAGTTGAAGAGTACCTATGATAAAAATTACAGTCATCTACACGCTTTGCAAGTGGGAAAACCTGAAAAATCAACAGTGTATCAAATACTTGTTCTCTCCACTGTATAAGGCCTTACATGGCCTAGCGCCTCCTTACCTTTCAGACCTTCTCCACCCTTATATTCCACCTTATGCTCTCTGATCTCAGGGCACTGGTCTGTTGGTAATCCCTAAGGTCAGACGTAAAACTATTGAAGGTTGTGCTTTTTTATTTTGTGCCCCTTTGTTGAGGAATGATCTCCCTCAAGACATCAGGCTGGCCTGCTCAGTGGAAGTTTTTAAAGCTAAACTAAAGACCCACCTGTACACCTTGACCTGTGTCTTAAATTTTACATTTGTATTTTTTCTTTTTTTCCCCAATGTTTTACTTGTTCTTACAACTTTTTTATATTGATTTTTATCTTTTTGTAATTGTTCAGCACTTAGTTTGAAAGCGCTTTATAAATAGTTATTATTATTTTTATTATTATTATTACAAATTTACTGATAAGACTAATAATTTATACCTATCAATAACAATTACTCAATGTAGTGCATGCTCCTGTCATAGTTAAAGAAACATTTGTGATCAAACACAAGCAGCACTGCAGTAAGGAGACAGTACTGAGTTCTTGTACGTACAAATGTCAGCTGAGATAACAATTCACCGGCTGCGGATGAATCTTACGTAAGATGTGCAATTCCTCAAACACGCTCGAGTGAGCAAATTAATGAGGGCCGGGTCAAGTTTCGCATTTGTCTCGCAGAGAAATATTAGAAATTTCCATCTGTTTGCTTGTAACGTTCAGTGTGATGCTCATCTCGGGTGAGGGTACGCTCTGTTCGCAGGGATAACACTTCCTCCCGACACGTCAACACCTACAGGCTGAGAGCATATGTCACATCCACTCAGAAGAACTCTGCATGCTGAGGCAGCTCTACACCAATAACCTTTACTTCTGTGTAACATTTGAGGACGCCTAGCTTCAGTCACTCACGACCTGAATTTACCTACAAAAAATGTATTTTGATGCAGAACGAGCACAAGTTTAAATCTTAACKAATGTTTAATTGACACGCAGGTCAGGTCAGATCTTCCCCCTGAGGACCAAACACACTTTCTTTGTTCTGTTCTTTCTGGTAATTATCTATGTAGACATGTGAGAGAGAAGGGAGTGCATCACTTTTTGAACAGAACTGTCTTGGATCTTTTTTTTAGTAGCTAAAGCAAACAGTTTTTCTTGAGTGATGTAGTGTCAAGATCATTTTTAAACACACTGTAAACCTTGTAATTCTGTCAGCAGCTCAAGATTATATTCAGCTGCCAGCTAGAAGCCTACATTTCTGATCCAGAGCACCCCCCCACCCCCCACCACCCACTAACAGCATTCATACATCAATGTCGAGGCAGATTCACTGCAATTCTTTAAAAAGTTAACATGCCAGAACCCACAGCCAGCGGCCACTTTTAACTTCCAGGAGATAAAAATTCAACATTAGCATTAATTTGGCGCTGCTTCACTCACCTTTGGTTCTTCTTTTAGCCGTTTTCTTCAGACTCCTGAGGGAAATAGTTGCTCTTTTTCTGATGCTAAATCATCCATGATGCTTACTTTGACGTTAGCGGTAGTAAACGGTCGGGTTCAGGGTTCAGGCTTAAATACCTATAGCTCTGAGT